ATCACTCGACAATTGACTTTTCCCTTCGAGTGCCTTATACTCCTGCCACAGAAATCCTTATCAAGGACTTCAAGATTGCGAACTACTCTGTTGTGCGAGAGTATTTATCAGGCATTGACTGGCTGGGTTGTTTTACACCCTTAGATACCGTCAATGAAATGTATGAACTTTTTCTCGCCGTTTTACAACACGCAGTGGAAAAGTTCATTCCTTTACGCAGAGTTTTGGAAAATCAACTAAGTCTACCTTCTTATCTTATAAGCATGATTAAAAAACGAGATATGCTTTGGAATCGTGCTGTTGATTGCGGAAGTACTGAAGCTTGGTCTGCTTTCAGAAAATTCAATAGTAAACTTGAGAAAGCTTCACGCAAGTACCACATACATCTGGAGAAAAAGCTTATCCTATCGAAAAATAAGAGCGGGTTTTTTCGTTATATGAGGACTTATCTTGTGGATAAATATGTCGCATATCCACTTCTGGATAGCTCTGGAAAATCTCTGTTACATGAAACAGACAAGGCTAACCTACTAGCTGAAGAATTTCTAAAAGTCTATAACAAGAGTTCATCTGCAACTTCTTACCCAGCTCCAATATTTCCGGAAATGAATAAATCTGTCTGGTTTTCAAGAGAGAAAATAGTCACAATCCTTTCCAAATGTCCTAGCTCTTTTTCAGTGACTCCTGATGGAATACCCTTGTTTTTTATCAAAGAGGTACTCCCTGAAATTGGTTTTCCTTTAGAATTTCTATTTAATCTGTCCTATATGAGAAGTGAAGTTCCTGACAGGTGGAAGCACTCTCTTGTAACCCCTATTCCAAAGAAACCACCCCACAACGATCCAAAAAATTATCGGCCAATAAGCATAACTTCTATATTTGCTAGAACATTTGAGAAAATTTTGAAAGAACAGATTGTACTACATTTAGAAAAGTATTCCATTATTTCTCCATGTCAACATGGTTTTTGTAAAGGTAAATCTGTCGAGACAGCAGTCCTTACAGCCATGAATGACTGGACTGTTGAAGCTGATAAGCGACAACAAATTGATGTTATATTCTTAGACTTCTCCAAAGCATTTGATAAAGTTCCAATCACCAAACTGCTATCTAAACTTAGAATGATAGGAGTGGAGGGTATGACATGCAGATGGATAGAGAACTTTTTGAACAGCCGTACCTTTCAAGTTCGTGTCGGTAATGAGTTTTCAAGAGCCTATACCATCTCTAGTGGAGTACCGCAGGGTGGAGTCCTCTCCCCTGTACTCTTTCTTCTTTACACCTTTGACTTGCCTGATATCATTGAATCTCATCAAGATATCAAATGCGTGATGTATGCAGACGACATCAAGTTGTTTAAGGTTATTCATAATGAAAACGATGTGAAGCTCTTACAGTCCTGTCTAGAAGCTGCTAATCAATGGTCAGAAGAATTTGAATTGCCTTTATCCCCCCAGAAAACTCATGTAAGTCTTTGGGTGTCAGAAAAGTTGAGTCGTCCTATACTCTGAATGGAAACAAACTGACTCAGATCAAGGAAGTGAAGGATTTAGGTTTTACATTTTCCGAAAAGCTTCAGTTCACTTCTCACTACAACAACACTGTCTCTAAAGCCCTCTCTCGAACTTACAATCTATTCAAGGTCCTCAGAACCACAAACGCTAAAGTTTTAATTAATGCCTACAAGATGTACATTCGTCCTATTGTCGAATTTGGTACTACAGTAACTTCTCCACATAAGGTTCGAGACATTGCTACTATCGAAAGGGTACAAAACAACTTTACCAGAAAATTATTTCTGAGACTTTTGGGTCCCAACTACTCTCTTATACCTAGAAGCGATGAACGCAACAAAGTATTATCACTGCCTAGTTTAGCCCTCAGAAGAAAAAAGTTTGATCTCTCCATGGCTCTCAAGATGCTAATAGGAAAATGCAAAATTGATATTTCAAAATTCTTTGACGTTTACAACTCCAAGACTAGAGGAGGTTCGCTGAAACTAAGGGTTCCCAAAACAAAATTACTTTTCAGGTCCAATTTTTTCGCTGTGAGAATAGTTTCCGATGTTAACAGGCTACTGGCACAAGATGCTCTCCAAAAGACGTTAGCAAAATTTTTTACAAATCGTCCTATTTCCCAATCGTGAAACCATTTTCTTCATTGTCTTGTGCTGTAAATGGTACTATATGTATATCTTTTGCTGATATTCTTTTTGTACATCAATACTCCGGTTTTCTAGCATTGCAAGACTTGATTTTACTATTTCTACTCACGTGTTTTTGCACGTATCAATAAATAAATAAATAAATATCACCTTCATAACGACCCTCCCCCTCCCTCTTCCTGACCCCTCTACGAACCCCTGGTGTGGCCTGCCACACCTCACGCTTGAGTCTGGTTCGGACACAGCGCTGATAACTAGCATACCGCCGAACAAAAATCTCCGGTGCTATTACATCTGAAGCTGCTATGAATTATGAGAGCCAGAGGGGGCAAACCCCCTCCATTTATTTTGTTGCTATCTCAATACACCACAAAACGGCAACCTTCCTTCTCCCAATATCTTCCGTGCTTGCCACGGTAGGGGAGTTGGAGGCTTGATTTCTGCTTAGGTCATCACATCAAAGTCCAGTTTAATGTCTTGCGAATGTGTCGTTTATATTGTTCTCACAAAATGTGAAACGGCGGTTGCCGTGATAGTGCAGCAACGTCTTTGCTCCCTCCCTTCACCTTTGGGTTGGCATCTGGATGACCCCCTTCACTGGAGCCAGTCAATGCATAACTGGCATTTTTAGGAAACATTGTAGTTGTACCAATAGCATTTGTTGAGAAGATCGCATACTTGAAACCTCCTGTCTCACTCAGTGTGGCATTTTGATAACAAAATACGCTCAAGAATTGCGATGTCTAATTCTTCGACAAAGCAGCATATCGATGAATAGACAGTCGCAGGGAAGGTTTAAGCAAGAGTCAGAAGTCTGCTGTGAACAATAATGAATGCAATTTTATTGACAGAATCGAACCGTATCTTCATCTAGTAAAAAAATAAGAGCGCGGCTAGACTTCTTGTTTTCGTTTCAATACAGAGTGTCCCAAAAAGATGTGCACACTGTTTGATGGTTAATAACTTCTTGCTTTCATGACTTTTGCCGAGGTTAAGGTACCATTCTGTAGAGCTAGGTTCAACTTAGATTTGCGGTATGGAGCGAATTGTCAACCATTATTACTGTATGATTACGGTGCGAATTTTCAGCACAAATCTGCACTGTGGATTATGTCGTGAAACGACTCACTATACACAAGAGATTACTCCACAATATACAAGTAATTATTGAGTTGAACTCTTGTTTTGTGGTTATGTTTATTTTAGAAAGAATGCTTTGCGTGTCAGTTTCTCAGCATCGCGGAAGATGATAACCGAGATAACTTCGAGGGACGTCGAGCGCAGCTGCTTCATCATTCTTGTTACTTTTGCATAATTTGCATTTTCTGTCGTATCTACTTGACATCTTTTGGCAAAGTATATAAACCCGTGTTACAGTAGACTCATATTTACTGAGTTGAATTTGAATACTTTTTTACATTCTTTTCCTTCCATCTTTCAAGAAAACAATCATACAAAATAAGCATAAAAGTCAAGTATAAAACTCAAGTATTGACCAGAAAAGGATAAACAAGTTATATCAATTTGTGTGCCTCGTGTATCCTTTTCATCAGTTTTCCTGTGTATCATTTAGCATTTTTCACTCAGTTCGTATTTGTTATGTAGTTTAGCTTCATGTTATTTTGTGTTAGTTATTTCGTCGATTTTTCCTTTATAACTGCTTCATAAACGGCTTAATTACCCAAGTTTAAGTTGAGGTACGCAACATCAAGAGTAAGCCCGCGTGGCAGCATTCAAGTATAGTGGTCTCTTGGTATTCGAGTATCGTTTTGATTATCTATCGAGTTTACCTCAACACAGATTAGGCCTTTTGATAAAATTATTTTCAAAAAAATCTGGAAATCGGTGTAGCAAGGTTTTAGGCGTGCTGATTGCACTGCATAACTTTCCAGAGTTTTTTGAGCTTTCTTGATAGCGCATTCACATTTCTGACGAACATTGGAAAATTAGTTGTTACCCTAAATCTGAGATAACTCATGAAAGAAACACTGCCCTGACGTGCAGTTTTCATATTTAGAATCAGCGACTCCGACTAACCCAGTTCAAGAGTTTCTGGCTTCTTTGGCTTTCTTTCTGAGGAAAATACCGCTTTTAATGGTTCGAAGTCTTCCTCAAAGTTCCTACCGTAATCCTGCAGTAATGAAGGGCGGCTGTCAATCTAAGTTGAACTTCGCTCTAAGAAATGATACTGCAAGCTCGGCAAAAGACATGAAAGCAAGAGAGTTATTAACGATCAAACAATGTGCACATCTTTTTGGGACACCCTGTATATTAGGTTGTCCCAAAAGTTCCTGCGCCGTATTTTCAAAAATCATAACTTCCTTGCGACTGAATGGATTTCACTAAATTTATTTTCATTTGAAATAATAAACCCTTCTCTTTACAGTAATGCCTTTGCCATGAATTGGCATTGAAAAGTTCGAGAGCTAGAAGCAATTGAAGAAAATCAGTCAAGATCGGCATTTTTCAAGGTGGATCACGAAAAGTTCTGGAAGCATTTTTGTTTTATAGGGAAAATTTTGCACATTACATTGGTGCCTTTCCATGCACTGAAACGAAAAGGATTGAGAGCTAGAAGCAAACAAAAAAATTCCTTTAGTTTTGCAATTCTTGAGCATGCTCAAAAAACCTAGAAACGTCACAGAAGAGGCGGAGAAGCTATGAACATGGGTTTTGTGACCTTGTCTTTATAGCTAAGAGGAAATTGCGCCAATCGAGAGCAATTTTGATTTTCGCGAAAAACGCAGACCCGAAAATCCGAAAAAATCACGAAAAGTAAAATTGCTCTCGATTAGCTCGAAACTCCATAACTTTCATAGCTTTCGTATTCGGGACAATGCTCTTTGTTGCAGATTTGGTGCGATCCGCACCAAGACACACGCGAGGTCGACAAATCAAGAATTCGGATCATCTAGGCAATTATTTTGGACGCAAAAGTTGCAGTCGACAAAAGTTGGCTTTTGATACGTATTTAGCTTTGTGGTTCATCTATTTTTGTTTCGTATTTGTTCGTTTTTGTTTATGTGTGCTAGAGGATCTGGGCATTTTAATGTTCAGAGGGGGCGCAGCATGGTGACTCGGGCCATGCATCCTCTTGCATGTGGGGGCGCAGCGTGATGACCCAAGCCATGCATCCGTTTGCACCGGGGGGGGGGGGGGAGGGGGAGCTTCGCCGTTCCCACGCAATAGCTGTATAACACCTTTTTCTAAGTCAAAGGGGTAGTATTTGAGAAGTTTGCTAATCTAAGTATACAGTATAGTACGTAAAGTAGATATATGTTTTTGACTCTGGTTCTTTGAGGTTTCCCGTGTCAGTGCTCGAAAGGCGACCGACAAGCGCTGCCGTACATCGTATACAAATCACTCGAATGCAAATGGAGGTCTTGAAGGTAAGGGCGTGCATTACTGCTGCCATTCATTGCGTAGAGCTAACTTTTCAGGAGAAACAAACTTTGCTTACCAGATTTTCACTCGCTTCAAACAAGATGGTCGCTGTTCTGGATAAGCACTTGGAATAGGCGTCTATCGCATGCGACAGACTGGCTGGTCGGAGGCGCACCTCGAATCCTCAGACAAAGCCAATTTGGAATCCCGCTTCAGTGGATCCAAACTTGGCTGTGTCTGAGGATTCGAGATTGTTTTTGTAAACCTGTTGTTTTTGATACTGTTGCATTCATTCTCAACGATATATCATCAACAGTTATTTACTGTTGATATATCATCAACAGTAAATAACTGTTGATGATATATCGTTGTTTCGTGTAATGTTGTCTGTTGATAATAAACCTCACAGCGAAAGCGTCTAACACTCTCAAAAAAAAAACAATAACATTTCCGTTCATCCGAACACAGAGTTGCGGATCCAAAGTTGCTGCAACCTGTTGCATTTTGCAATGCAGCGGACCTGGCACGGAGCTGGCACGGGCTGGTACGGAGTTATATTTGCTCCCAAATCGTAAAGAAATTATCATTTACGAATTTAGAAATTAAGGAATTATCGCGGATCCTATCCTTTAGAATGGCGAACTTCCGCTTTCATATGCAACAACAATAATACAAACAAGGTAGACAGGAAACGAGCGCAATGCGAAGACTGCCTTGTGTTTCATTGATTGTTGTATATCTTCATGGCTGAGCTTCTTCCGCATTCTTGTCTTGTGCATGCCGGCAGCGAAAACGTTCAGACTAGTGCAGTGGCTGCGCGCGCCGCTCACTGCAGTCAATGCGAGTTTAGCGGCGGGCGGCGAAGCTTTTTGCGGCGAGTGGCCAGCGTCCGTCGTGCCCAAGTTGTGACGCCTTTTGGGCGGTGACGACCGCGTCCTCTTTAAGTTTGACGACTTTTGGGAGGGGGATGACTACTGGCCCAAACGGTATATCAATCGTCGGGACACAAAACCTTCCGGCTCTAAAAAAGTCTTGCTCCGGCAACCCATGAAAGCCAAGCCATTGAATGGCAGGGTAGTTCAAGCTAATGGGAAACTTCCACTTCATTAAAATGCATGCTTTCTCATTCAATAATCTCTAGGGTATTTCGAAAGTACGTGCATTATTTGATCGTTAACAACGCTCTTGCTTCAGTCTCTTTTGGCAATCTTCAGAAACCATTATGTAAGAAACTTAATTTTACAGTGAGGAGCGAGTCGCCAATTTTTTTCGGTTACTGTGGGGTTAGGGTAAGAACTTTGGAGAAAGTTTTAAGCTATAAGGGTTGTATTTTTCTTTACTAAAAGAACCAAACAAGCCAAAAATTCTCACACTAGTTCAATAGAAGTGCTTGATTTTATACACGAAGTTTGCACTCACAGTCATAATTCTTCCATGAGTTATTCCAAGCAAACCGTAACAGCTTCTTTTCCGTTGTTCTACAAAAATATGAATACACAGGAAGAGGTTAATCCTGATGTTCGTCACTTCGTAGGCTTTGACAAAGGGCCCGAACCTTAGTTGAGTAAATGCTATGATAGTTTTGGTGGGCTATATTACTGAAACGACTTAAACGATATGCCAAGATTCATTGAAAGTCGGAAATGGATTATGATTACACACTAAGATAGCTCAGGAAACCTTAGCACCAAGTGAAAACCTAGTTACACAATTTTTCTCTGGATTTTTCTGGATTTTTCCCAACAGCCGGCCTATTTTACAATGGTGCTTCAACTTCTTACCGTAATGCTACAGTAGCGAAGAGAAATCGTCGACTTGCTCCAAACTGTAAATTCAAATTGAAGCAAGCTCTATAGAATTTTTGAAAGACTTTAACAAGAAAAATGTTAACGATCAAACAATGTGCACAATTTTTTTGAGACGCCCATAAAGATATCTTATTAAGCTGTGTTAGAGGGCAAGACTTGATAGTAAACGTGAACCATCTCTTTTTTAGCTTCATTCTCCCTTTCAGAACTTGACAGCAGCGAATGATGTTGCAGCTATATCAAATCCTTGACTCAACAGGAGAGCTAAAAGAAGAAACGGTTTACGTCGGCTCAGCATGTTCCAAGTTTAGGAATAATATATTGAGTTGTCCAAGGTTGAATTTGAAATCGAAGTCATCAGTAGTTTTGTAATTTACAACGCTGCAAAGCCGGTTCTCAGACTTTTGCAGCACCTTGTGATAGTAGTGGTACAAGCAAATTGCACTACTCAAACCTGAAAAACGAGTTTTACTTACAATAGGACAAGTTATACTACAAGGTGCAAAAGCGAGTACTTTTTGACAAGTAACTCTTTTTCCACAAAGACTTTTGCTTAGCTCTGAGTACCATTCGATAGAGTCGGCTTCGTCTACAGCATGGAGCAAATCATTCTCCTCGTTACTGTAGGATTACAGTGAAAACTTTAGAGAAGTTTTTTAGCTATTAATGGCTACAACCTCAAAACACACAACAAGCCACGAACTTTTATCATTAGGCTGAGTTGCTAATCTTATATATAAAGCTGAATGTGTGTGTGTGTGTGTGTGTGTGTGTGTGTGTGTGTGTGTGTGTGTGTGTGTGTGTGTTGCGTGCGCGCGTATGTTCCGAATAGAAAATTCCATTTCCGAACCGATCCGGACCAAACTTGGCACACATACACTTCGGGGCGGGGCGGGTGTCGTAGGCTACTTCACGTTATCGATCGATATCAATTTTATCGATTTTTCTCGATTTTTTTGCAGAGTGCACCTACGAGGCTGGGAGTTGGCACAGGGGGGTATTTGGGCATGGCGACTCCGAATACAATATTGGTTTTCAGAATTATCGATTAGTTTTATCGATTTTATCGACTTTTTGCAAAGATTGAGCTACAGGGCTGGGAGTTGGCACAAGGGGGTAAGTGGGCATGCATTTGAAAAACCACACAGAGTACGGGAAATGAAGTGTAGAGTGGACACAGGGAAAAACTTTAACGGATAGGGTTGGGAACTTTATTACAGTGTTTTGACAGGGCCGAGCGGAGCCGGGTAAGCAAGCTTGTTATGAATATAAATTACGAACCTTCCCATTAGAATCTTTATGAATTTTACAAAGTAAACCACACGTCGTTTTGCTGTGTTTTTCAAACATGACCAATTTATTTGAAAAGGTACTTGTAAAAGGTTTTCTACTGCAGATGTCATGTTTAAAACACTGCTACATGGCTTTCCAGAATTTTTGCAATTTTTTTCAGAAAAGGTCTAAAGACAGCCGTAAGTGAGCAGAAATAGGCAGGCTAATTTTGAGAACTAAATTACAAAACTACAATGCATTTCTTATTCAGCGCACATGTTCTGGTTTACGGCGGCAAACAATTCTTCCGCAAGCAAAAACTCAAGCAATGCGACACGCATTGACAAAAGTGAAGATTTTTTCTTTCAACCAGCATCTACAAGGTGATCGAAATGCATGCAGGGCAATGGGCATAATGAAGTAGTAAGCGTTATACTTACTATTTAACGCGACTTTGCATCATGAGACCCTGAGTCGCACAAACAGGGTGTCCCAAAAAATGTGAACACTGTTTGTACGTTACTAACCCCGTTGCTTTCATGTCTTTTGCTGAGCTTGAGGAACCATTTTATAGAGCGAGGTTCAACTTAGATCCACAATATGGAGAGGGAACCATCGATCGCCCTTCATTACTTTAGGATTACTTCGGCAAGAATTTTAGGCCATTAGAGGCCGTATTTTGCCTTGGAACAAAACCAAACAAGCCAAAAACTCTTATACTATGGTAATGGAAGCCGATGATTTCGAATATGAAATTTCCACTTTATTGTAATGCTTCTTTCCAAGGTTATCTCAGGTAAACCGTAATAACTCAATTTCCAGCATTTGTCAGAAATGTGACTACACCATCAAAAAAGCTAAAAACACTCGTAAAAAGTTGTGTAGTGGAACCAGCGTGCGCGAAAACCTAGTACATCATTTTTCAGATTTTCTGAAATAATTTTTTCAAATGGGATGTTTCACAGTAGATCCACATGTTAGAAGTTCATACCGTAATCCTACAGTAATGAAGGGCGATCTATGGTTCGCTCCATACTGTGGATCTAAGTTGAACTTCGCTCTATAGAATGGTGCCTCAAGCTTGGCGAACGACATAAGAGCAACGTAGTTAGTAACGATCAAACAGTGCTCACATTTTTTTGAGACACCCTGAAACCGTTTTGCGATTGTAACGACACTGCTGGAAATTCAGCATCAGCTTCTGCTAGCCTGTGCCGTAAACGCTCTAATCTCGTGACTGTTCTCCACTACTCTCGGGATACAATTAAAGATTCATGGGTTTGATTTCAGAATTCTTAAATGGCTGGATATCCCTAAATTACACATTCTTGTAAACTGGGCAGGAGAAGTCTGCTTTTGACTTAAGTGTTTAACAAAGTGCTCAGCTTTGTCTGAATGTACATTTGTGAATGGTTTCATTTTCGGAGAAAAATATTATTTTTTTTATAGATTCCTCTCCGATCACACTGGACTGATGATGACTTTGTTCTGTATAAAAAACGGCGTTTTTACATGCCGAGACTGCTGCGAAAACAATCGAGGGAAAACGAACACTTTTTGTTCTCGTGCCTGTTTCTCCAAACTGACCAGTTGACGTCGTTCTGTGGCGAATTATCTCTCTCCATAGGTAAACATTTTCTTGTTTATAAAGCAATCTTCAAGGCAGCAAACACACAATTTACTCAATTTCTTTTTTGGAAATACAGTTTCAACAATTTTTGTCACGTCTCTAAATTGAGGAAGCAGTGCTGGGAAGTCTTGTTGAAGAAAGTGAAACAAGTGAAAAAGCTTTTCCAATTATTAAAGCTATCAGGCACATATAATGATCAAGGAGGAGCCTGCACAACCAGATGCATTTTGTTGCAAATAAGTTGATTATGTAAAGGAGGTGACCTGGCTTAAAAACAAGGGAGAGGGAGAAAGGGATTACGCATTCTCTAATGAATTCCTCTGAAACTTGAGGGCAGATCTGGAGCAACCGGCTTGCGGAGTTCCGCAAAAGTAGATAAAGAAAAACAAAGTACATGAAAACCCAAATTTATCACGGAGACTTGTTAGTGGGAGTCAGAGAATCCATATCCAGCATTGCCCTTCCAATCAGTCAACGGTGTTTGCTGAAATAAACTTCGTTCGAGGCAGTTTGCTGAAAGACTCTGAAGCAAGCCATGCGTTAAACTGCCGCATAAGTGATGCAAATTTGCGCCTCTTTACTGTAAAACCTGATCAGTTAAGGGTTTATATCTCAAAAGGGAACAAAATGCAATAAAAGTAGCTGCAGTAGCTATACAGAGGAGATGCCAGGATCACTTAACAAAATGAATTAAGCAAAATGAGATTAAGTAGAATGTAAGGCAGATAAGCCGAGCAGTAAGAACCTCAGCTATAGGTTTCATTCTACTGTGAAGCATACGATTTTTTTCAAATATGATGAGAGCACTGTTACATTATGTGTAAGCTCAGACCTCAAAACCATGAGGTCTAGCGGTGGTTTGACTGGATTATTTCCATCTCTCAGGACTTTCCCCATGCAAAAGCCCCGCAAAAGGTTTTCTTCTTTACTGCAGTATGCCTTTAGCGACTTAGTATGAGAACAAGAGGTAGAAGCTATTGAAAAACACTCAATATGGGCATTTTTCAAAGGTTACCAATACGTTTAATAGTTACGTTACGATTTGCTCAGCTGCAATGAGGAGGTCGTAAAACTCACGGTAAAGCTTTTAGGTTTTTTAAGCGTGCTCAAAATTACAAAACTGAAGCAATTCCATTCATTTGCTTCTAGCTCTCATACTTTCTCGTTTCAGTTCATGGCAGAGGTACTAAGTGATGCGCGAAATTTTTTCTTACAAATAAGTACACTTTTGAGATTTTTCGCAACCCTGCTTTAAGAATGCCAACCTTAATTTTGTTTAATGATTCTATCTCTCGAAATCTCGCATACTAATAATTTACCGTAGGCATACCGCTGTTATGAGCTTTATCTGACTTCCATACAGAATTTTATTCGAAGGAGTCCCTCAAACGAAAGTTATAATTTAACGAAAGTAATGCATAAGAACTTTTGGAGCACCTGATATATTGGGGGTGTCCCATAAACTTCTATTATACTTTTTACTTTCTTCCGCAACTCATATTCTTCTTGTTCTTTGAGTAGGTTTTGCCGTAACATCCGACAGTATACGAATTTCGCAATTCGTATTATTATTATTCTCTGCCCCAAAATGCGCTTGTTATTTGCATCTGTGTGTGTGGTTGAATACTTTGAAAGTTTCACAGCAACGATGAATTTAGCAGCTTGCATCGTTTTTGCTGTTGTAGGAATTTGCAGATGTTAGCATCAGATGTTGATTGCTCATGGTTTTATAGCTAACAGTAGGATGCGCAGCTGTGGCTTGATGTGACAGTGCACACTCAGAGTTATTCACATTACGACTCTCACTCATTTGGTTTAACATCAATTCACTCATGTATTTGTGCCTTCTTACAATCATATCATTCCTATTTGTAGTTCATCATATAGTAATATCATTTTGTTATTTAATCTATCATTAGTTTGTTACTCTTTTTCAGAAGCAGTAGTACTGAGGAAGATGGAATGAAATCGAAGTGCTATTAGGAGATCAGGATTAGACAATTGAAGTTGAACTGCGTTTGCAGAGAATGAGTGAATGAGGTGAGAAACTCGAGATTCTGTTAGTGTTCGACTGGGGTGCTAGGATTCGTAATGAACTACGTATCCTTGCGAAATGACTGACTCTGAGATTGCGAGGGTTTATAAATTTTACTGCGCTTAGCTGGAAAAAGCTGTCTAAACACACCAATCGCAGGGTGTCTGAAATGCACGTTTGCAAGTTTGAAAATCAACATCTCCGTTGTTCCAATTTTTCTAAAGGCTGCTTGATACAGTTGTAAATGCTGCCATATCGCTCTTCACCCGCATTCCGTTATACGTACTAATCAGAATTGCATCAGAATATTCTTTAGAGCACATACATTGCTGAAGATAAGTATGAACTTCTTGCTTCTATACCTGGGAGCTTGTTTATCAGTACTAGCGAGCGCGAAGGAACCTGCAGCGCAACAGTAAGTTTAATTGACATCGTCCTAATGGGCAGCAAAAGTGTAATGCTTTCAGGAATTCATATGTATGCCGTCTAGGGAAATGTGTGCAGGTCAAAACTGCAGAGCTAAGACAACAAGGAGTGCGAAAGAGTTTCGCTAACAGAGGAGAATGCGAAAAAAATTGCCGCCCCCACAATTAGTATCACCAAGGCAGATGCAGGAGATAAATTATAAAACGAAGATCAACCTTCCTCATTGCCTGTTTTTCTTTGTAAGATGCGAATGAAACGTTGTTTGCAGCCGTTCACAGCGATGAGCAGTATGAGAAATGCTCTACTACGCGGTGTAGGCAGGGGAGACGGTCAAGAGGCGCGATTTCTCGAAGTCATCAGTTTAGCAGCGCAATTTAGAGCCAAGAGAGTGTACCAAGTATACCAGACAGAGTGCTTTAGCTTACTTACAAAGGGCGGACCTGGACTCGTCAGTGCCAATCGAGGTAAGCTACAGGCCATCCGAATCAGTGTGAAACGCTGATCTCAAATCTGTAATCATTATCTAGTGGCTCTCTAAAAAGAATGAGTTATTATCAATTATCTTCGTTAATATGCACAGTCTCGTTAAGTACGGTTCGCAGCGGTAAACCAGATGTGGTGGTAGGGTCCAGAACGAGTGTGGCAAGTGGACACCGGTGAACGATTTCGCTTTTGCCGCTATCGATTTTTTACGATTACCCACTTGATCGCGGCAGCTGCACAGGTTGTTTGACTGGGGCTGTCATTCTGTCAAAAACCGCGTCGTTGCTACCCCGGATCTTAGGAGAAGTGGAGGAGTTTTGGAACCAAAATATTACTATACGCTAATAAGTGTAGAAAATCCTTTCAAAATTGTGTTAAAATTTTGAAAACATAATGTGAATGGTTTTGGTTGGTGGTTTTGGTTGGGTTGGTTGGTTTTGGTTTTGGTTTGGTTTGGTGGTTTTGGTTGGTTTTGGCTGGTGGTTTTGCCTACTTCAGGTGGGCATTAGGTGAACAATTGCCCACCTAATTTGAAAAAAGTTAAGCAAAATTAATATAGTCGTCCTCAGCCCACTAGACACCTAGTGGGTGCATTCGAATCTGCACTAGAGCATGCCGGCTGCGGCAGAGCGCGGCACCGTCGAATGCATTTCAAGCTAATGCAGTTTTCGTTTCTGTTTTATTGTCGTTGCATTGTGATTTTTTTGTTTTAATGATGGTTGTAATCAGAGTTGAGAAAATTTGTTGCTTAGCGATGTTCGTAGTACCATGCTCATTTCTTTGATCTGCTTTCAAGAAAGGTTGGAAAAACGATACACATTGAGAGTTTTGACATGAAGTGTTCAATGAATGCTGACAGTTTTCTCAATTCCTATTGAAATTGTTGTTTTTATTCGAGCGATGAATCGTGCTGCTATGCTCGTTTCTTTGACTGCCATTCCAAGTTGAGCTTGGAAAAACGACTAAGTTCAAAAGCTAGTGAAATTTTTCTCCGTAAGTCTTGAAGTGTTGCTTCATTGAACACTTCATGTCAAAACTCTCAATGTGTATCGTTTTTCCAACCTTTCCTGAAAGCAGATTAAAGAAATGAGCATTGTACCACGAACATCGCTAAGCAACAAATTTTCTCAACTCTGATTACAATCATCATTAAAACAAAGAAATCACGATGCAACGACAACACAACACAAAAGAAAACTGCATTAGCTTGAAATGCATTCGACGGTGTCCCGCTCTGCCGCAGCCGGCGTGCTCTAGTTCAAATTCGAATTCGTCCACTAGGTGTATAGTTGGGGGAGAACGACTGTATTTACAAAGGTTTTTCTTAATTTTTCATACTTTTTCCTTAGCCCTACTGCGCGCATATACACCAAGTTTCTGCCACGTCGTCATCTGTGCATTGCAAAAGAACCAATTTATCATTTTATGATAGTGCGATATTTTAAAAAAAAGCTTGCCACAACCTTCAGCCACATAATCTTTACGCGATACTGTGCACTATGCTCTTCCTAGTATAGGGGCCTGCAGGATCGCGAGAGTCGGACGTGCGTACGGCCATTGCGCCGCGCACGTCGTATGTCACTGGGTCGTACTCGACTTAGGCTGGATAGGTGAGATTTTTTTGTTTTTCTTCTCATTTCTCGCCTTCTTTTCTTTTCAGGCGGCGAACATATGTTGGTGCAGAGAAGTTTAAGATCTAGATTAAGGTGAGGTGCAGGATTACGCTCAATACGGGCCAATATTGTGGACTTTTCACCCCTGCTTTGAAGAATGTTGGGTTTTCTGTTCTGGCTGTCTGATTATGTTCGATTTTTCGTCCTGCCTGCCCGGTTACGAAACTCCGTTTTATTTGCAACGTCTGTTCTACCTCATCTTGCATCATGCGCGTCATCACAATCATAATCATTGTCATCATCATCATCATCACAAGCAATATGCAAGATAAGGTAGAATAGACGGTAGAAATAGAACAGTTTGCTGTAACAGGGCAGCCAGGACAGAAAATCCAACATCTCAACCAGCAGGCATGGAAGGTCTGCAATATTGAGTCCGTATTGAGCATAATCCTGCACCTCACCTTAATTCAGATCTTAAACTCCTCCGCACCAACATGTGCTCACCGTCTGAAAAGAAAAGAAGGCGTGAAATGTAAAGAAAAACAAAAAAAACTTACCTATCTACCTTAATCGACTACGACCCAGCGATATCAGGCGTGCGCGGCGCAAAGGCCGTACGCGCGTCCGACTCTCGCGATCCTGCAGGCCCCTATACACGTCCGTTTACATCCAAATTCTTTCTCATTTCGTATTCAGTGCGCCGTAACCAAGACATTTAATTACATTTCATTGAAAAAAATTGGATTTTTAGAGACGCCGCGGGAGCAAGATTGTGTTTCTGCTTCTCATTCGTGTAGCAAATTGTCGAGAGAGTGTATGGACGCGTAAACGTATATCTGCGATATCTACTTTACTTTACATTCAGTACGACCTCCAGCTTGACATTTTCCACCTCGCGCCGGGATCTTTTGGTGGTTTGGTGTAGTGAATAAACGCGGAGCCTATAAATCCTTCTCCTTTTCAAGTTTTTGCAAACTAAGAATATACGTTTTATACTAGAAGGGGTGGCCCGCGCACATGCACAGATCTTATGAAGGTTTTAGTTGCTGGTATGAACATCCATCAGAATTAAAATCATTTTTATTTTTATTTTAAGAATACACTCGAGGTGCACCAGATTCTAAAAGAAATAAAAAGAAGATCCAAACAAATGAGACCAGCCAATCCTCAGTTTCAAGAGAAGATAAACGAAAATACGGAAGGAAAAAGAGAAGCCACGAAGCCTGGACAGGTGAACGAAAGTACACTTAATTTAAAAAAAAAACAATCCATGGTTTGTGGGTGACAATCGTGTTTCAAGTACTATTTCTTATGCTTTAATCCAAAAAACATTAATCAAAAAGAGAAGAATCTTGTCTTCTAAACCTGGTCTTGCTAGAACATACACAGAAACATGTTGAACAAGAAAATGGACATGCATGTGTATGTGAGTTTGCAAAAAGTAGTTCTGCTTTTTGCACAAGTTTTCGGTGGGTGGTATCTTACCTCCTGAAAGGATTCGCTTCCTGCGATTTTGCGCACATCAAGCCGTCAAGAGGGAAAAATCATCAATGGCTTCTGCTCGATGCGAGAAGCAACTTACGGATGGATATGTAAAAACTCATAACATATTTGGATATGTAAAAACTCGTAACATATTGTCACCGACATACAGGATTTCAATTCAGATGGTTCATACCAGCGGCTAATCTGGGGTCTGTGCATGTCCGCGGGCCACCCTAACATAAAAGATATATCACTAGTCTGCAAAAATGTAAAAAGCAAAAGGATTCGAATCCCGACTATCTGCCCCATAAGCTCCGAGCATATCCACTACACCAAACCACCAAAAGGTCCCGTCACAAGGTGGAAAATGTCAAGATGAAAATTGTTCCTAGATGGTAAGCAAAGGGGATATGGCAAATATATGTTTACACGTCCATACACTCTCTCGACAAGTTGCTACACGAATGACAAGCAGAAACACAATCTTGCTCGCGCGGCGTCTCTAAAAATCCAATTTTTTTCAATGAAATGTAATTAAATGTCTTGGTTACGGTGCACTGATTACGAAATGACGATAGGATTTGGGTGTGCACGGGCATTAGTGGGAGGAACATAGAGCAGAGTATCGCGTAAATATTAAAAAAAAACTGGGTTTAGCGTGTAACATTTTGGCTCCAGAACGGAAAGAAATCGTTCACCGGTGTCCACTTGCCACACTCGTTCTGTACCCTACCACCACATCTGGTTTACCGCTGCGACCGTACTTAACGAGACTAATAATAAAGACGAAGATAATTGATAATAACTCATTCTTTTTAGAGAGCCACTAGATAATGATTACAGATTTGAGATCAGCGTTTCACACTGATTCGGACGGCCTGTAGCTTACCTCGATTGGCACTGACGAGTCCAGGTCCGCCCTTTGTAAGTAAGCTAAAGCACTCTGTCTGGTATACTTGGTACACTCTCTTGGCTCTAAATTGCGCTGCTAAACTGATGACTTCGAGAAATCGCGCCTCTTGACCGTCTCCCCTGCCTACACCGCGTAGTAGAGCGTTTCTCATACTGCTCATCGCTGTGAACGGCTGCAAACAACGTTTTATTCGCATCTTACAAAGAAAAACAGGCAATGAGGAAGGTTGATCTTCGTTTTATAATTTATCTCCTGCATCTGCCTTGGTGATACTAATTGTGGGAGCGGCAATTCTTTTCGCATTCTCCTCTGTTAGCGAAACTCTTTCGCACTCCTTGTTGTCTTAGCTCTGCAGTTTTGACCTGCACACATTTCCCTAGACGGCATACATATGAATTCCTGAAAGCATTACACTTTTGCTGCCCATTAGGACGATGTAAATTAAACTTACTGTTGCGCTGCAGGTTCCTTCGCGCTCGCTAGTACTGATAAACAAGCTCCCAGGTATAGGAAAAGCAAGAAGTTCATACTTATCTTCAGCAACGTATGTGCTCTAAAGAATATTCTGATGCAATTCTGATTAGTACGTATAACGGAATGCGGGTGAAGAGCGACAGGCAGCATTTACAACTGATTAGTTTGTTACACTTTTTCAGAAGCAGTAGTACTGAGGAAGATGGAATGAAATCGAAGTGCTATTAGGAGATCAGGATTAGACAATTGAAGTTGAACTGCGTTTGCAGAGAATGAGTGAATGAGGTGAGAAACTCGAGATTCTCTTAGTGTTCGACTGGGGTGCTAGGATTCGTAATGAACTACGTATCCTTGCGAAATGACTGACTCTGAGATTGCGAGGGTTTATAAATTTTACTGCGCTTAGCTGGAAAAAGCTGTCTAAACACACCAATCGCAGGGTGTCTGAAATGCACGTTTGCAAGTTTGAAAATCAACATCTCCGTTGTTCCAATTTTTCTAAAGGCTGCTTGATACGTATGAGCGGTTAACTTTGAAAACTGTTGACTTTGTTAACTTTCGGAAAACAGTGGTACTTCAAGGAAAGCCGTGCTGAGTAGAAGCTATGGATGTGAGCAGAAGTAAACAGACTAATCTTGAGAACTACAATTATAAGGTTACAATGCATTTCTAAATCGGCAGTGATGCACAGAGGCTAAGGTGAAAATTTTTTGGTTTTTCGACTACCATATACAAATGCATGAGTAGAGGGCATTTTGCATAATAAAGTTGCAAGCGTTGGACCTATTGTTTATTGCCACTTTGCATAATTGGAACCCCTGATCCTTGACAAATAGGTGTGCTTTCATCGCACCTACACTGCTCAGCATCAGCTTTTGCTAGCCTGCGGCGTAAACGCTCTAAGCTTGTGACATGTTCTCCACTATTCTCAAGGTACAAAGAAAGATCTAATGGGTTAGATTTTAGAATTTTTCAATTTTCTTTCAATTTTGGCAGGGTATCCTTGATTACATGTCTTTGTAAATCGGGTAAGAGAAATGCCCTTTTGATTTCAGTGCTTAACAAAGCGCTCAGCTTTTCTGAATGTACATTTCTAAATGGTTTCGTTTTCATATAAAATGTAATTTTTTGCAACTTCCTCTCCGAGCACATTGGGATTGATGATGACGTTGTTCTGCATAAAGGCAAACGGCGTTTTTTCGCTTGTTGAAACTGCTGAAAACAATCGTTTCGAAGGAAAACGAAAACTTTTTGTTCTCGTGACTGTTTTTCCAAACTGATCATCTGACGTTGTTTTGTGGCGGGTGATAGGTAAACATTTTCTTAATGCAGCGAACGCACAAATTACTCGACTCTTATTGCAGCGTATCGCTTCCAACGACTTCTTTGTCACGTCGCTAATTGAGGAAGCAGTGCTAGGAAGCCTTGTTAAACAGGTAAAACAAGCTTTTCCATTCATTATAAGAATTAGGCTTATGAGGAGGTCAAGGAGCCTGCACAACTTTCATATGCATTTTGACGCAGGTAAGTTGATTATGCAAGAGAGATGACCTGCCTTAAAACCATGGGGAAGAGAGAGAAGGAATAGGTATTCTAGCTGATAAATTTCTCTACGCAAATCTGGAGCAGCCAGCTTGTAGCTTTGTTCCGCTTCAAGAAATAAGGAAAAACAAAGTAATTGAGACTTGAATCAATCATAGAAGCTTTGGGATGGTAGTGAGAGTCAGAGAATTCATATCCTGCGTGGTTCTTCCAACTGGGTGCAAATCGAGTGGTTCCCGGGCAGCCGACTGCTGCCGCAGCCAGCCGCCGAAGCTACCTACGAAGCGCTGCAGATGACAGTGATTACGCTCGTCGTCTAGAATCAGAGAGATTCTCGCACCTCGTCGCGTTAAGGTGCGATATCCGCCTTAGCGATAGCGTGATGTCGTCGATATTTATATTATTATGATGATCGAAAAGTAATGGGACACCGAAGAGTGAATGTAGTTTTATCAAACGATCGATTGGACGTCTAAGTTTTGAGAGATGTTAGTACATATCAAATATTCTTAACGAGGTCTATAGATAGCCACTGTCATAGCGTCGTGTCTATAAGTGGTCAAAATCTAAGCTCGTCACGACAAGCAATTTCAAACTTGATGCAGCAGCGTCGCAGTAAAGGTAAGGCTGCCAAGAACATACATGCCGCAATGGGTTAGGGGACTGTCATCAAATCCACGATAGCCGGATGGTTACAACGCTTGCAGCAGAAGGTATAGCATTGGGTATTAGGTGTCATATTATTTATCCTCTCATCGAGGTGATCCAATGGCTCACCCTTGACGAATGGCATCTGATAGAAGTGTTTACGCGCTATCCATACGTGCGCAATTTACCTCGAGAAAGCCTCGCTTTCAAAAAATTGGGCCAAACACGTTTTCTAGCCCAAAAACCTGCGCCAGATATTGCACTTTTACGGACCTGCCTCTTTTATACAAAATGGAAGAATTTCTGCAGGTTCAAGCAATTATTAGAAAGAGATTGGGAAGCACTTTTTGGTATTTCATATGTCCAGGGACTTCAAGGTACTGCAGTACAATTTCGGATGGCGTTCAAAAAAGTCTGTCTGACTATTTAGTACTCTGCGTTGATACCACTGCTT